GTCAGAAAAGACCTGCGGAAGAAAAAGAGATTATTTCTAATATAAATGACTAGAACTTCCACTAAATGCACAAAAAGTCAGTTAAAACTTTCCAACCCATATACCAGTTCCCAAAAGGAAGAGAAGCACTCTCTTATTACTCCTTCCTCTTGTGCATAGTCTGACAGTGATAATACATTAAGAATTTCTGGTAGTGGGCCCTTATCTGAACTGCCTACCTCATGCCTCAAGGTGTACTTTCAGTTTGCTAGTAAATCACTCTTTGCTACATTTTTATTATTCTGTGGTTCTTTTGCTGAAGCTGGGTGATAGTCTTAATTTTAGACATTGCACCCAAGGAACCATAATACATTCCATCCACTGGTAGCATTTTGATGCTGTGACTCAGATCCACAGAAGGGGCTGGCATTTACTGCCTTTTTTTTTTTTTTTTAACCATCATTTGATGAGGTAGAGAAATGAATACGTAGACTCTGTGGGCCCTGTAGTATGACCCTTGAAATACAACAAAAATAATCTGAGCAGTATTTTGAGATGCTAGGACATAAGCTATAGGAAAGACAGAATTAAACTTAAGAATGGACTCCAGGCTACAGAATATGCCTTCTTCAGGTAATACCAATAGCTTCCTACCCACACTTTTCTACCCTTGGATATGATGACTGCTTCATTTTGTGACATCTATAGTCCAATTGGCTCAATAATGGAAATGCCATATTCTCAGCAACCCGTACTACCCAAGGCCAATCAAACTCCCCAAAACTCTGGAACCTGAACACCCTCCATCATTTCCCCTGCCCCTCATCTGCAGGCAGCAGCCAGATCTATCTATCTATATCACTGAAAGAATACAGGGTCTTCAGCTCTTGAGGAGGGGGACTTAGTATAGGAATCTATGTAGACATAAGCAGGAATAAGGAAATGCCCCTGGATACAAGATTCCATTTCCCTTAGATGGAGGTGGAATCATAAAACCCTAGATGGCCCACACTCTACACCAATGATTAAGATAACAGTCCTATATTCTCCTGATCGATCGATCTATCTATCTATCTATCTATTTTGTGGTGCTGGAGATAGTACCCAGGGCCTCACATATTCTAGGCAAGAGCTCTACAACTGAGCCATATCCCAGCCCCGTATCTTGCACACTTCCTGTATTAAGGCCATGCATGTATCCCAATGGATGTGATGACCACTATATGACCCTACACTGGTGGCAAAGTGCAGGTGTACATCCTACTGGATAATAAAACTCCAAGTCACCAAAACTTGGAGACAGCTGCCTTATCCCAACTGCTGCCTCATATCTTGAGGGGTACTTTAGTTTTGTTAATAAATCACTCCTTGATATCTTAAAAAAATGTTTTTTTCATAGAAGAGGTATTCAAAATTAGGCTTGCACACATACACATTCTAACACAAAAATTAAACCATTTACTGCAGTCTAAGATCACTAAGTATAAATGATAGCCATTCTTTCACAAGCTTTTAAAATTCAGTTATAGAAAATCATAATTATAAACTAAGGTTTGCTCTGAAATTCACTAACCATGAAAAAGTGAAAATGTCTTAGGCTTAAAACATTTGGCAATTTGAATCAACAAAACTGAAATCAATCTAAATACTGCTGTGTAAAGTTAAAAAAAAAAAAAAAAAAAAAAGGAATAAAAAAGACAAGAAGATAACCACTAATCCCTCATTCTCCAGAATCTATTCCAACAATTCCAACAAACTTAGTATTACTTCTTACCATCCTGAGTCTAGTTTAAAGCCATCAACAAACAAGATACTCATTAATCCCTTAATACAATCTCATCTTCCCAGTAAAGTTACATATATTTATAAACTGTAACCCCTAAAACTTAACTCTAAGAACCACTATCTCAATTTACTCTTTACACTGACACCAAATTACCTATTCTGAAAGGTTATCGTACTAAACTAAAATTTTGTCATGACTCTATGATAAGGTGTCTATGTGGGTTGCAGAAGCACAAACAAAAACTACAGCTTTAGCCCTTATCATGCATTCATGTCAGAATACATTAAATCTCAATAGACTGATAGGTAAACCTAGCTGGTCAAGGCACATTAACACCTATATTTCTTCAACATTTTCCAAAGAGAACACCAAATAAATATGCAGAAAAGCAGCTTAAGAGAATCACACTTCTACAGTAAAAAATTTGAGTGAAGTCAAAATAAACATTTCAAATTTCATTGAAATTATGAACTCTTTCAAAACTTATCACACATAAAATTAGAAAATTCAATAATCTACATTAGATAAAAGATAAACTTCAAATACTTTAATCAATCCTATTACTCCAACAACCCAATCTTTTGTAAATAATCTTACTTTTAAACATACAACATATGTAAAAACCTAATAGTTTTCTTTCAGAAAGGTGAATGCTAAAAAAAGACTACCTATTTAAAAAGGAGTACCAAGAGTTCACAACTTAATTATCTCAAGTAAATTAATATTAACATACAGAAAATTAAATATTATCAAAAAGGTAATTTTTACACAAAAACACTAACAACAACAACAAAAGCTGTGGAAAACATCTCAGTGAAGTATAATGACTATTGCCTACTTTATTCTTTGTGATAGAGACCAAGTTAGAATGAAATATAGCAGTGGGGGAATTGACAACCTCTGAATAGATGAAAAAAATTTGATGAAAAATTGGTACATTTCACATTTTTATAATTTTTTTTAGCACCAACCAATGTCTTATATAATAGTGATTGTACTTATCTCTCATTGTGTATTCGTTCCTCCACTGTTCTTATTTAAAAAAAAAAAATAGTCACAATGGTTGGAGACCAATTAACTACTTTCCACCATAAAAAAAAAAATCTTTGATCTGCCCCTGAACACATGCTGCACCCGTACATGACACACATGCTCCTGCAGAATAGGGGCTATGTGCCCATCACTGAGAGTCACGTGGTTAAAAAAAAAAAGTAAGTCTTTCCAGAAGAGTAATTTTTCTCCCTCAATAAGCATTTATCATTTTAAAAAGATTACTTAGTACTCAGAAAAACCTGGAAATGAAAATGATTCTTCAATAAAATCTGGAAATTATTTTATACTTACTATCTAACATGAATGTTTCCTCAAAATCTGTTTTCTCAAATGCAATTTTCTATTTCTTCAAAATATATTTGGTTAATTGACAGCCTGATAATCAAAAAACTATAGACCTACAGGACTGCTATTCCTAAATGAGGTTTCATGATGAAACCCAGTATATCTAACAGTTGCTTCACCTGTCTCTTAAGTTTAATCCTTTTGTATGATTTGCAAATTGAGTTAATTTACATAATGAAACACATGCCCAAATACCAGCAAATATCACTCTAAAAATAACAGAATATATAAAAGCAGTGAATGATAATGTCTCTCTCTATATATGAATGTAAATACTTACATACAAGTGTTAGTCTATTCCTACTACATATTTACTTAAGATGAACAAATATATACAAACATACACTTGTGCTAAACAAGATAAAGCAAGACAAAACCAATTCAGATGTAAACAGTACTAAATAGCACAATAGAAATCCTATTATTTTACTAAAGACAATAAAGACCTAGTTGGCAGTACTATAGCTGGTTTTCAGCCTCACTACTTAACAGGTAATAAATATAACAATAAGGGAAAACATATAAAGTATAACTGAAAAAAAAGCAGTAAAAGGTTTTAAGTTAACATGCAAAGAAAGATTTGCCCAGGCTGGTTTTGAACTATGATCCTCCTGATCTCACCCTCCTGTGTAGCTAGGCTTACATGTGTGAGCCACTGGAGCCTGGCTACATCTCCTTTTTTTTGTTTCAGGTAAAGGAACATAATCTAATTAAAAAAAAAAAAAAAAATCAGGGCTGGCAATGTAGCTTAGTGGTAATGTGTTTGCCTGGCATGTGTAAGGCCCTGGGTTCAATCCCCAGCATTATAAGAAATTAAGAACAACAAAAAAACAGAAAACCATTTAATGAGAAAAATACAGGTGGCTCTAAAGAAAATCAGAACTTGGAGAAATACTGTAAAGACAAATATTCTTATGACCAATGCTAATCAACTGCCCAATGTATTTTTATATTAGAATTATACTGCATTAAATTGAATAAAAAGAAGTGAAACATTATCAGAATCATTTGAGGAACCTTTTCTAACTATACAGTCACTTGCCTTTGTATCCCCCTTCCATAACTGGCAATTGCGTAGGTGGAGGGAGATGGCTTGAGAAGAAGGGTAATCAACATGTATATATTAAGTGATAAATACATATACATATATATGTATACATATATGTACATATACGAATGTATAGATATATGTACATATATACAATGTGTGTTCATAATGTTTATTATGAAGAAAACTCCCCAGATGGCTGATATCTCTACGATCAAGCACTTGATGGGGAATTATTTTTGTAATACATGATATGCTAACTACGGCTTAGAAATAATTTTGTTACACTGATGAACTAGCTGAAATATAATTTACTCATATACTGAAGTCAACTAAGGTCCCCAACAACAGCTGGTATTTCTTGCATATTTAAGGTCAGGAAGGAAAAAATATTGAAGTTTTATGAAAAGTTAGTGTGAACTATTTAAGAAAACTGTTCAATATTATTTACAAAATAGATAAAATTAGTTTAAAATTCAATTTTAGAAAAAAATCTTAGATTCTATCACTCTACTACTCCTAACTACCAGAGGTATTTCCACAAAAGATTATAAAAACATTTAAAATACAATTTTATATAATTTTTATTTATACTTTAGAATTTAAACAACTTGCTGGGAACACTCTTTGTGACGCAACATAGTCTTTTTACTTGAAAGTATTTAAACTTCAAGACAGGCTCACTAATTTTTTTTTCAAAAGCAAGCAACAAATGTTAGCTGAAAATGGCCAGTTTAATGATTATTTGTGACACAGACTTGATTATGTGAGCCTAGAAAGCCTCCCCACCTCGGTCTCCCCTGTGGAGGAGGGGGTCTTTGTGTGCTTTTCTGTGGTGGTTCCACTGAATTCATTACAATAGAGATGGACATTTGATATTCGTAACGATCCAACATCTGTGCAATCTTCTTTCGAGACACACCATGTTTATTCCTCCTACCAAAAAAGAAAAAGATTTTAAAATCTCTTTTTTAGAATACATATAGATACACAGGCTTAGATAGTAAACTATTTTAAAGTAACACAATACAGATTGTAAGTAAAAATTTGTAAATAAACATTAGAAGATATATTCACTTACTCACATTTTATACAAAAAGATTTGCATTGGCTGACAGCAAAATGTTAATTGATTATACCTTCTTCACACAGAACTACTTTGTAGCCGTTGAGTATACCCCCCTTTAACAAAAAAATCAAGGATTACTTTTTTAAAAAAAGACAATAAAAGTGTCTGGAGAATTAAAGAAGAATGAATAGACTTCCAGGACTTACAAAACAATGTAAAATATTTATCACTTTTTAAAAGTTACAACAGTTTCTATCACATCTTAAAAAATTACTATTATCAGTACCATTTTACTAGAGACACAACACTGGCATCTTTCAAAAACATAATGTTGAATTAAAGAAGACAAAAGGAATACATTATGTATTATTCTTTATATATATACATGAATATATATATGAAGGCAAAACAAATATGGTATTAAGACAACAATTACAGGGTTAAAGTACATGGTAAAAAAGTAAGCAAGTGACAGATTACCAAGCTAAAAAACAACTGGTTAGATTCTTTTTGTTTTGCAGTTCTGGGTTTTGAACTCAGGGCTTTGAACTTGCAATTGCAAGTCAGGCACTCTACACTTGCACTACATTTTCAGCCTAATCAGTTAGCTCTAAGGGATGAAAGGTAATTGTGACTAGAAGATGTGCTTCTGAGGGGCTGGTAATACTCTTATGACAAGGGTGATGGCTTAATGTGTATTTGTTAAGTAAAAATCTTGTTAAGCTCTATATTTATTTGCATACTTTTGAGAGGGTTGTGGATTTTTTTTTTATTAATTTATTTATTTTTTGGTGGGAATGGGTTTGAACTCAAGGCTTCAAGCTTGCAAAGCAGGCACTCTACCACTTGAGTCACACCTCCAGTCCTTTTATTGGTTTTTAGATAGGATGTCTCTATGTAGCCCAGGCTGGCCTTGCACATCCATTCTTCCTGCCTCAGCCTCATTAGTGCTGGAATTAGAAGTATGCATCACCATTCCTGGCTCTTTATGTACTTTTTGTATGTAAGTTCATGACAATGCAAAGTGGTTTTTAATGTTTACATTAAAGACCAAAAAAGCAAAGTGAGAAGACAGAAGAAAAAAAATGAGAGATATCTAAGGTTAAAAACTGACAAGAAATGGGCTAGGGATACATTCATTGGTATTTGCCTAGAATATGTGAGGCCCTGGTATTAACCCAGCACTACAAAAAAAATTAAATTTTTAAAAAATTGCTAAGATATGAATAATTCTACAGATGCCAAAATCAATTAATTCTACTGAACTCTTCTAACAATCAAACTATGCTAGATAGTAACTGCCTTCATTATGTAATGACAATTCATATTAAGGAATTAATCAGTTTTAACAGTCCCTCAAATGTAAACGAAGTCATGATGATATGACAATTCAATCATTCATTTATCCAATTATCTATTCAGTATAACTCAATCATCTTTAATTTTTAAAATTCTAACTCTTCCACCTTATGTGTGATGCACACAGCTTATAGGCAAACACCACCAAATATTAATATTAATGAGTCTGTCAGTATATTTATCTATATATGAACACATGGCACACAAGTGAGAAAGGCAGTAGTCAAAGAAATAAAAGACAAAGGGGAAAGAATTAGTTGGGCCCCATACACAGCTCAAAGGCTGTGCTCAATAGTAGAGCATGTACTTATTAACAAAGACCTTGGGCTCAATCACTAGCAGCTGCAGCAACAACAACAGAAAGTTATCAGCTCGAAACTAGAAGAGTACAAACAGAGGTGGAGAGAAAAAAACTGTTTTAAAAGATGAGGAGGACTAGAGGTGTGGTTCAAATGATAGAGTGCTTGCCTAGAAAGCAAAGGCCCCAAGTTCAAACCCCAGTACTGCAAAAACAAACAAAAGGTGAATGAGGGCTGAGTGTGGTGGTGCTCACTTGTGCTCCCAGCTACTTGGGAGGTAAAGAAAAGAGGCTCAGGCCTGTAATCCTAGCTACCTGGAGGGCTGAGATTCAGATGAACACAATTTAAGGCCAGACAGGACAAATAGTTCTCAAGACCCCATCTCCAAAATAACCAGAGCAAAAGGAACTGGAAAAGCAGCTCAAGTAGTAAAATGCTTGCTTTGCAAGCTCAAAGATCTGAGTTCAACTCCAATCTCACAAAAAAAAAAAAAAAAAAAAAAAGATTATCACTGGTAGAGGCCACCCAGGCAAAGTTAGCTCTAGACCCTATCTGGGAATAAAAAAAAAAAAAAGCAAAATGCTTAGGAGTGTGGCTCAAGTGGTAGAGCACTTGCCTGCTAAGCAGGAGGCCCTGAGCTCAATCCCCAGTACATCACACCCCAAAAAAAGGTGGGGGGGAAGAGAGAATGATATTTGCACAACTCTGGGAATATACTGAAAACCAATGAATTATATACTTTAAATGGGTAAATTGTAAGGTAAGTGAATCATACCTCAGTAGTTAGTACCAAAAAGGGAGGGAATGAAATGAGAAAGAAAAGAGTGATAGGAAAAGCAGTGATATGAAGGGAAAGGAATAAAGGTCAATGGAAAAGCTGGGTTGAAAGTACTATCAGTCCACACTCTCTCATCACAAGCTCTGAAATCTATAAGATCTAAAAACTCAGTTTTCTGTTAACTCAGATGGCACAAAACCTAACCAGATCTGTACTCAACTGACAGCACAACCTACCCATAACTGAAATTAGATTGTGTAGAATCTTTCTTATTTGCTTAGACTGACTAGTCATGATTGGCTACAGAAACATTAAGTGTGACTGTGACATCCTGACCAAACTCTGGTAGTGGTGTTACAACCATGCATCATATTACCTTCCTAAAATCCACAAAATCTGAATTCCAAAACAAACAGATTCTAAGGATTTTGGTATGGGATATGGACCTGTAGCAGTAAAGCTAGAAAAAGAATACAATGAAAGCACAACGTAAAAAGGCAATAGAAGCCTAAAATGGGGAAATAAAGGTAGAAAGTCAAGGCAGAGAAGTGTCCTAGCTAAAAAACAGGGAAAAGTTCTGTTATACTACATGTTTCCTAACCAACGCTAGCATTCCATAAGCAGAAACGCAGGCATTCACATAAAGAAAAGTAACAAACACATCTAATAAAGATTATCTAAAACATTTTAATAGGCGAGGCTTCTCAAAAACCTTTAAGTCAACACTCCTCTTAACAGAAAATATAAAGTAGTAGTCCCTATCCACAAGTAACAAAGATGACATAAAAGCTAGGAAAAGAAACTGACCATGTAAAGGGAAATGAAAGATAAGAAGGATTCGAAAAAATTTTTGAGTGCCTTACTTTTCTAATTCTTCAGGATCAAATTTCCACCAAGTTTCAGGTTCGTGAAACTCTACTCTGTATCCTTTTCCTATGGCCTACACAAGGGAAGGGAAGAAAACAAAAACCCATAGAACAGTTCTTAAAGTAAAAAGAAGGCAAACATATAAATTTCATTTAGATAATACTTCTAAATTTGCTTAACCAAGAAAAACACAACTTTGTAAAATAATATAGTTAAGAAAAATGTTAAGACTACTGAAAAAATTCTAATTACTATTCTCAAGTTCAGGAAAAACTAAAAAGAGCATATTCCATCATAATTACCATTCCTAATTTGTTTAAAAAAACTAAGCAAACCAACAAACTTCTTTAGAAAACAAGGACAATCTTTTAATAATAAAGATCAAATTAACCAAAATTTCAGAATATAAAAAAATTGACAAGAATAAAATAAAAAAGTCTCATATCAGATTTACCATTTCCACATATGGTTTCATTTCCCAAGCCTGTGTGTTAGTGTTGTCTATTATAACTGGAGATCTCCCCTGATCAATAGCTTGTTTTGCTGAAATAAAAAATATATTTAAAAACAAAAACAAAAAAATTAGGTTAAAAAAAATTTAAATATTCACTATTAAGAAATATGCCATATATTTATATTTAAAACCAAAACTGTATAATTTCTTGAGTCAGTGCCATAAAACAAAGACTCCACTAGATTAAAAGGGAATTAAGAGGCATAACCCACATGTCAGGTCCATTCTCTGGAATGGATGCTAGTTTTGACAAACTGTAAAACACATTTTAGGAAAATTTGGTTGAAAGTAAGCTAATAAAGCCTTCACTCTAGTCTTAATTTTCATTTATAGGAAATAAAGATGATAATGGAATAAATTACATCTGAATACAGACTAGGTACAAGAAGATGTGCAAATTTATTGACACAGAAAGATAGTTAAATGAAAACAGTAACAGTTAAAATACTGAAACACAATAGTCAAATATGATCTTCTATATAAGTCAAAATATAGAGGTACAAGGAACATTAAGATAATGAAAGTGGTCATCTCTACGTGGTGGGAATATTTGCATTTTAAGTTTACCTGTTATTCCTTACAAATAATGATTTTATTACTGCTGTTACTTTTATTAGCACACATTTGTAGTACAAAGGGGTTTCAATGAGATAATTCCCAAAGTATGTATAGTGTACCTTTGAACAAGTTCACAACCTTCATTATATTCCCTTAACCCTCCTCTTTCCTGTCCCACATTCCCCTGCTTTTCAAAAGGGGAATGTCTGAATTTGATGGGTTTTATTATGCCATCTTTACATACACATACATATATATATATATATATGTATATATATCACACCTCAATCCTCTTCACCCCCCTACAAATAATGCTTTTGAAATAAAAGCACAATACCACAGCTCAACTGATTTTGTGTATCTCTGAGAACTATGATCTCAAACAAGAAGTTGAAGTAAAATGGAAATGTATTCTAAACTATCTCTATTTCAATGCCATCTCCTCTACCATGAGGTAGAAGTCACTGTCACAGCAAGCTACTATTATGACAGCAGTGTGTATATGCCTTCAGGTATACCAGGAAAGGAAAAAAAAGAACTTCTGATAATTTTAAAAGTTGAGGCAAAATGCAAGGATAAGAAGTTTTCTTGGGACTTAGGATTCAAACTACTAAGTTCAACATGATGAAAACATTTATATAGAATTCTAAAGATTAAGGAATAATGAATAAATAAGGTGGAATACATATTTAGGAGAAGACATTTCTAAATAGCAAAAGAAATGTAGACATCAGGTCCCCAATAGATACTATCATCTATTAGTGCTGGTTTATGTTGGCACCAAGATACTATCTCTCCTACTGCTCCACTGCAATCATAAATAGTGACTTATACTATATAGTTATCATTTAAAAAATTTTATTAAGATCCAGGGATGATGTGCACATCTATAATCTCAGCTACTCAGAAAACACGAGACCCTATCTCAAAAACTAAGCGAGGCATGGTGGCCATCACAGTTACTCAGGAGGTGGAGGTAGGAGGAACTCAATCTGAGGTTGGCCCCAGGCAGGAGCACAAGAACCTATCTGAAAATAAGGGCTGAAGTAGGTATGGTTCAAGTGGTAGAGCACTTGCCTGGCAAGCAAAAAGCCCAAAGTTCAAACTCCTGTACAGCTACAAAAAAAAAAAATTAAATAATTCTCCTGAGCTGGATGTGGGGTACATGGCTTTAGTCCCAGCTACTTGGGAAGCTCAGGTAGGATAGCTTGAGCTCATAAATTTGAGATCAGCCATGCACCATAACAAGACTTTGTCTCAAAAAAAAATGTTTTTTCTCCTAATGTCTAATAGCTAAATTTGTACATCTAAGGAGTTATGGTCTAGAGGAGCTTTTTAATGAAATAAATCTGATTCATTGGAGTGAAAAGATAGTCCTTTTTCCATGAATAATCACCATCTGATACCAGAGTCTAATACACTCTATAAGACTAGAGTTCTAAATAAACTGTCTGAGCACTCAAATAATAAGTGCAGTTTTCTTAAAACTACGCTTGGCACCTTGGAGATGTTTTCAATTTGTAAATGTTTCTAAAACTAATTTTATTTTTATTTTTTGCAACATGGGATAAAACTCAGGGCTTTGTACATGTTATGCAAGCAAGTATTCTACCACCAAACCCTGAAATTGATTCTTCCAATAATAAACATGATGCCAACAGGTACCTGGCATTTAAAGCTAACTAATAAATGTTTGTTGAAGAGTAATTTTGCCCTAAATAATATGCCATGCTTATAATGTTCAAAATGTCTGATTGCTACATATTAACCTTAGAAAAGGTAAAAAATTACCTTGAAAATGTCCATATTTGTTACTCTGATAAGAAACTAGCAAGTTTATCCAGATATAATTATTCTATTCCATGGTTCCATTACTGTGAGTATAATTAACATAATTTATAAGGCATAAACATTTTATTCTATTTTATTTATTTGTTAGAGGTACTGGGGTTTGAAGTCAAGGCCTCCTGCTTGCTAGGCAGGCACTCTACCACTTGAGCCATGCTCCTAGCCCAGCATAGGCATGTTAATAAAATACTCTATGGTACTCCTGCAAGGAGAAAAAGCATCCCACACAGGCAAACTTCCCAGTCTACCAAAGGTATACTTTCTTGACCAGTATCATTCATTTCACCTAATCTTGTTCCCTTTAACTTTAGTCAATAATTCTAAACATTTCTGGAATTGTAGTATCATCACTATTTGATTTGGACAACAATTTTCTATGGCATTAAAAAATTTTTTTTAATTTGAGATTTTTTTTTTTATGCCACCCTCAATATAGTTGGAGAAATCCTAGAACATCTTAAAACCAATATAAGTTGAGTACTTCTTATCAGAAATGTCTGGGACCAGAAATGTTTCACATTTTAGGTTTTTTTTTTTTTTCATTTTGGAATAGTTGCATAAACTATAGATTAAACATACCTAATCTGAATATCCAAAATGCTTCAGTATCCAAAAGTTCAAATGCCTCCATGACTCAAGATGTTTCCTACTTTGAGGCATTTCAGGTTTTCAGATTAAGGATACTCAAACTTACTTGTCAATCAAATTTATTTAACATTTGAACATTCTTATGAAACTGTAAGAGATGCCTAAACTGCTTTTGCTGCAAAGCACTGACTCCTTACATGAGCCCACAAACTAACAGCAGGAGGCTTGGCATCCCTGCCTCCACTTTGTTTGGGTTTCAGCAAAGACAGGACTGATTGATAATGCCTTTATGACAAGGGAACAAGACTACCTCTAAGGAACACCACAGCCTTGTATGACAGACCACCCTCCAAATGAACACAATTACCCATATATAATGACCGGTCTATAGCCTGGAGCACGAGTAATAATCTCATGGGAACCAGATTGATCCCCTAAAGAGTGATGACAGTGGTAACGTCTCCAGAACACTGGGAGAACCAGAACTGAGATAATGATCAACCAGGCCACACCTGGAACTGAGATCGTTTAACTTTTGCACCCTACCCTAATTCTTTGTCTATTTAAAGCTAAAGCTAAATCTCATGTTTGTAACCCAAAGATGGCCAAACATGGGTTGAGTCCTTACTTTGACTCTTCCCACAGTTGATTTCCTAAATCTCCTTTCTCTGCCCTTCACCATTACCATACACAGGGGTACCATACACAGGGGTAAGTGGTAGGACTTGATGTGGAATCCCAGCAGTTTGGACCAAGAGGTCTAAAAACTCTGATTTCAAAACCATGAACTGTTAACAGTGGGAAACTTCTTACTCAAAAATATTCTCATTGAAATTACTTAAAAATCGACAATCAAAAAGAAAAGTAGTACTGTTTTTCTTGTATTTACTGTATTTGGGGCAACTCTAGGTGGTAGCTTTAGTTGAGAGGAAGTTCTTCATTATAGAAGCATTCTAGCTACTAAACATAGGAGTGACAGACCTAGAAGACCATCATTTTGCAACTCTTATTTGAGTTCAAAAGTAGTTGTTGGATAAAATCATCAGCTAAAAGGTTGATAGGAAACTTGATTATGAGGTAACTAGGCTGTCCTTTTGGAGCTACCAATCAATTTTATCATTTGCTTGTCAAAAAAAATAAAGTTGAACTTAAGTAGAGCTAATTTCCACTTACTAAAAAAAATAAGAGAAAGCAAGTAAAATACAAGGCAACTATAGGGTATGGAACATCTAGGACGAAGGACCTAGTTTCTGCAATAATGGTATGAGGGTTAAAAGAGGAGAAACTACTATAGATTAACATAATTAAAGAAAACATAAAACTACTTTTAAGACCTTGTTTGAATCCTGATTCAAACAAAACAATTGTAAAAAAGACATTTAAGACAATAAGAAATTTGCAGACTGGATTACATAATACTAAGAAATGGTTATCTTTTTATGTGTGATAGTGGCATTGCAGTTAAATAAGATGCAGTTAAGTAAGAAGGTTAATTTGAAATGCATAAAGTAAAATGTGTAAGGCTAGGCATGGCTCAAATGGTAAGTGTTTGCCTGGCAAGTGCAAGGCCTGAGTTCAAACCCCAGTACCATCAAAAAACCAAAATTATCATGTTTAGAATTTGGTTTTTTGTTTTTTGGAGACTCGGTGAGGGGTGAGAAGGGATGGTGGGTCATCTCACAATGGCCTCAAGTTGGAGATCCCCCTGCCTCAGCCTCCTGAGTAAACTGGGATTACAGGCATGTACCCCAGCTAGAATTTGCTTTTAAATACTTCATCATGGGGGGATGGGGGAGAAATGACCCAAACATTGTATGTACATATGAATAAAAAAAAAAATTCATCAAATTAAAAAACAAAAACAGGAGGACAGGTGGTAAAAAAAAAAAGAAAAAGGATAAAACTCACATGTCAAAATCCTAATAACTGATAATATGGGGTGTTCAGTGTATGAGATTCATTATATTTTCTCTAATCTAGTTTTTATGTTCATTTGTTTGCTTAATTGAGACAAGGTCTATGTAGCCTACCCAGGCTGATTTGGAACTAGAGATCCTCCTGCCTCAGCCTCTTGAGTGCTGTGATTACAAGCATGAACAACTATACCCAGCTTTTTCTTCAATCTATGTTTAAAAATGTTCATAACAAGAGCTATTGGTTTAATCATCAATGCATTTACCTTTAAAAATAACATATTGTATGCAATATTTAATAATTTTTAATTAATATTTAATAATTTTTAGTTTTGACTACACATTAGAATCATTTGGAGAATTTAAAAACAAAAATACCACATTTAGCCTCATTCCAGATCAATTAAACCATAATCCCTGGGGCTGAGACCCAAGAATAAGTTTTTTTTAAGAAGTCCTCAAGGGGGCTGACTGTATATGTGATAGAGTGCCTGGCTAGCAAACTCAAGGCCCTGAGTTCAAACCCCAGTTCTGAAAAAAAGGAAAAAAAAGAGAAATAGAAACTGACCTATGTGTTTAAAAAAAAAAAAAAATGTATTAAGTAGGTTTCTTATAGCACATTATCAATGAGAAAAAGTTTTAACATTCACAGCATTACATTAAATCTTGGAAAACACTGGCATTATTCTCAGGGGAAATAACTTTTGGAATATATATTAATAGTATTAGAGTTCTCTAAATTTATTTTTATAAGGTATCAAGAAGTATCACATACCTATCAAAATATCACACACATCTCTATTCTTTTACCAGCTTATATTAGTAAACTACTTATAGTTTACAACATGTTTATCTAAATTCTTTGCTCAGACAGAACAAAAATAATCATCATCAACTCTTATGGAAAAAGAAATTGTGATCTGAACTATTTAAATGGTTTGCCAAAGTCACTCAGCTGGCAAAAAACAAATCAAGAAAAAGTCAAGAATAAAACCTAGCTCTTCTGATGCTAATCAAATATTCTATCCCAGAAGACTTGGCCCAAAACAAACCTCTGTTCTGGTTCCAATCATGGGCATCACCAAGTTGATTAACATTATACCTGTACCCATCTTGATGATGAAAATAGTCATCAGTGCTGAACACAATGCCATCGCGACTCTGACCAAGCAGAATTCTGTTAATAAAAGAAATCATAAAGGTTCCATTTACAAAATCTATAACCATGAGAAATAAGCTATACAGGAAAGGTTAATAAATGAATTTCTGCTACTTACCCTTAAGTACATTGCAAACAGAATAGCACAGGAAGCTGAACATTAAAAGGCTTTCAGTTTTCAAACATCACTTCATACCTACTGTACACAACTAGAGCCAGTATCAAAAACTTTTTACACCAACATTTGTATTACAACTTCTAAAAAACATTCTGCATCCACTCCCAAAATAATGTCAGCTATTACTCATGTTTTAACTTTAGTGAATTTGCATTTGGTAGTTACAATTGCCTCAATTTGGTATAATAGGTAACCTAAAAACCAAGTAAGATTAAGCAAGCAAGCATATTTGGGAAAATTCACATTTGACCCAGGACAGCTTTGGTAAACTCATTTCCATGAAGTACAAACATATATGACTCACAAGTAAGAGTTAGAAATCAGCCTGTGGCAAAGATTAACAACCTGTGATTCTTCAAAATATAATCAAATTTTAAATCTCTGGATCAAATCACTAGATGAAATTACTTATTGAACAATAAATAAAAATAAATCCTCAGATCAAGTCACTGATAATAATTAAGCCTTGTTTTAAAAATATATTACCATTGTAGCTTAAATTTCTAAGCACAGTGAGATTCAGAGTTCAGAGTGGCCCAACATCAGTGGCTCACACTTGTAATTCTAGCTACTTGGGAAGCTGAGATCAGGAGGATCATGGTTCAAGGCCAGCCTAGGCAAATAGTTCAAGAGACTCCAATTCCAAAATAACTATAGCAGAGGTGTGGATCCAGCAGCAAAGTGTCTGCTTTGCGAGTGTTAAGCACTAAGTTCAAACCCCACATCCACCAAAAAAAAAGATGACAAGTGTGAGGGTTGAGGATTTAGCTCAGTAGAAGAGTGCTTGCCTAGCAAGCACAAGCCCTGAGTTTGCGCCACAGCACAAGAAAAAAAAAAAAAAGATGACAAATGTCATCTCTCCTTCCCACAACTATTAATAAAATCATATATATTTTATAATAAAAATAAAACATGTATCAAAATTAAACAATTTTAAATGTATTTCCACTTATAGAATTAAAGTTCAAATTACTTTAAACAAACCAAATGAAAGTTAATGGCTTGGGTTGTTTCTTTGCTTCTTTGGGGACTGGAGCGCAATTTCTTTTTTAAGCAGCCATAATTTTTCCAAAACTTTTTTTCCATACTTGGCATATTTTCTCACAGTGATACACCTAGAGTATAAAATACTATAATATTAGCACTCTAAACCAGAATCCAATCACCCAAAGAGAAATTTTGATCATACCTAACCACACAACTAATATATTCAACAGTACCAGAGATCCAGAAACCATCATTCCTAGATGCCTGATGCCTTTTTGTTCCATTATTTTATTAGCAGATGATTTTTAAGATGTTAATAATACATAATTATTGTAATGTTTTTGTGTCCAAGGAATGGTTTAAATTCTCCAAATTTAAGAAAAAAAGGACTAACAGAAGACAGTAATCAATTTTTATCATTAAGCCAGGTCTATATCAAACATGAACAAATCTCTATGAAGACCAAATTTCTTAAGTACATAAATTAGCTATAGTAAAAGTTTAGCTTGAAGAAATTTATTCCTCCCTGATATCACTGACTGTGCATGTATCTTCAAATTCACTGAATTACCATTACCTGAAACTATGAAGCTTTATTTTGGGAACTTTAAAAAATTACATCTATGACTCTAGGGATATCTGATGCCATGCTAAACATTTGAACCAAAAATAAATTATTTAAGAAAACTAGTATTTTCAAAATTCTTCTATCACACTGTAAACAGAATTACTTCTAGTTAAGTTAGGTATTAAAAGGGATTCTCAGAATGTTAAAACTTGGAACTTTAAATAAGACAAATATTTAATTTTTTAAAAAGATATGAGTTCTAGGTGGGTCACTGGCTCACACCTGTAATCCTAGCTACTTAGGAGACAGAGATCAGGAGGATCACGATTGGAAGCTAGCCTGGGTGAATAGTTCAGGAGACCCTATCTCAAAAAACCCATTACAAAAAAGGTCTGGCAGAATGGCTCAAGCAGTAAGAGCTCTTGCCTAGCAAGTGTGAGACTCTGAGTTCAAACTCCAGTGCTGCCCCCCAAAAAAAACACTTCAATTCTAGGTCCAGTGACTGATTTTCTCAAAATAATAGCTATTTTTTGAGAACCTATTACAGGCCAACATTTTATACATTTATGACAGCATTTAATTCTCAAGACAACTCTGATAATCTGCTATCAAACAAATCCAGGAAAGAAAATAATTTCAGAAGGTAGGCTATCATTACACAGATAGTAATAGAAAAGGCAAGATAAGTTCCCTGACCCCAAAACCAATTGCCTACAAGGATACCTGCCTCCTGGTAGTCACACTCTAATATAATTTCCTCTCCTAGAATATGACTAGATTTAGTCACTAGCTTCTAAGAAGTAGACTACAGCACAGGTGATTGGTTGCCATTTCTAGGACTATTATTTGTGTTTAAAGCAACTTCTGTCTTAAACTCTGGCTTGTCTGCTTTTTCACTCTGAAAGAAACCAGCTGTTATGTGATTAGAGAGAAGTCCAAAAAACTTCTGGAGGCTGGAAGTGAGACTTCTAGCCTCCAGCAAGCAAGGAATAGAGACCCTAACCCTGCTCACAAGGAACAGGGTCATCTTAGCAATCTTGTGAGAGTTCTCAGAATCAGACTGTCCTCAATTTAAACTGTCAGAGAAGAACACTGACCAACACTTGATTATATCACTGTTAGAACTCTGAACCAGAGGCACTCAACTAATCATAAACAAACTCCTCATCTACAGAGATGATGCACAATAAATACTGCAATCATGAATTACTAAGGCACTCTGCTTTTATCTTTTCATTTAAGAAATGAATAGGTAAACTCCATTCTCCAAAAGAGGCCTATAACAGAGTTTATTTTTTAAATTTCTAAGAACTCCACATTACTTCTTTAATACATCATATGCATTTAAAATGGAAAGTGATTTTTCAAAAACAAAAAATCTGAGCAAGGGCTGGGAGCATGGTTCAAGTGGCAGAACACCTGCCTAGCAAGCACAAGACCCAGACTTAGAACCCCAAAACCACCAAAAAAGAGAAAGAAAGAAAAAAATCTCAGTACAACTTGAAGAACTTCAAGAACCCTGTATCTCCTTATTTACTTCATAGCTTTGCAATCCCCCTAGTACTAAACCATTTACCCAGGCATTTGCTCCTTGAAATAAGAATAAAGACAACTATGTGAGGAAGGGTAAAGTTTTTTTATGGAGTTAAGCTGAGAAAGAGGGGGCGGGGGAGGGAAAAAACCTCTTTCATCTTTCTTTTTAACTGGCAGTACTGGGGTTTGAATTCAGGGCCTCCTCCTTTGCTAGGCAGGCGCTCTATCACGTGAGCAATTCTGCCAGCCCTTTTTTGTGTTGGGTATTTTGGAGCTAGGATCTTGTGAACTATTTGCCCCAGCTGGCCTCAGACCCCTATCCTCCTGATCTCTGACTCTTGAGTAGCTAGAATTACAGGCATGCCACTGGCACCCAGCCCATCTCTCTTTTTAAAGTGTAAGTTTATTATTTCCTATGGCTGCTATGACACTGTGACAGATTATTGCAAACCTGGTGGCTTGTTATTATCTTACAGTTCTAAAGGTCAGTAGTCCAAAATCAATTTCACCAAACTAAAAAGGAAGTATAGACAGGCCAGTGCTCCTTTTTTCTCTGCATACTATGACTTGAACGCAAGGCCTTGTGCTTACCCAGCAGCTTTACTTGTGCTCCACCCTGGCCCCTGTATTCCCTTTTGAGGCTCTGGAGAGCCTTGTCTTTTCTAACTTCTAAATATTAGCTGCATACTTCAGCTTGTAGGCCCTTTGGCATGTTCTCTCCTATTTGACCTCTGCTTCTGTCCTTCATCTTCTCTTTCTGGCTGATCCTCTTATTTCTCTCTTATTAAGAACCTTCCTGATTACAATGGGCCCACCCAGATAATTCAGGATAATTATCTCATGTCAAAATCTTTAATCACATCTGCAAAGTCTCTTTTAACACAGAGGTTTTAAGGATTAGGATAGGGACATCTTTGGGGGGTGGGAGGGGCGCATTATTTAGCCTCACACTGTACATATCCACAATAGCTTAAATAAACAAAAAAAAAAACCTTGGCAACAACAAAGCAATGTTTTCTCAAGTTCTTTCACTTTTTATCTCTTAGTAGTAAGAAAGTCCCCACATTACCCAAACCCTCAAAAAAAAGGTCATTTCACTTTTAGTCTTTATCCAACTACAAGTTATTAAGTTGAATAACTTAATATGAATGATATTAAGGTAGGGTTTTATTTTATTTTTTATTTATGTAAATATTTATCTTTGCAGTACTGAGGCTTGAACTCAGGACCTACCCCTTGAGCCACTCCACCAGCCCCTTTTTATGAAGGGTTTTTTTCAAGATAGTGTCTCCCAAACTATTTGCCTGAGCTGGCTTCGAACCTCCATCCTCCTGATCTCTACCTCCTCACAGCTAGGATTACAGGTGTGAGCCACTGGTACCCAGCTTAATGCAGGGTTTCAAATACTTTCTTCCAAATTAAGTCAAATATCCTACTACTACTTATTGAACATTTTTCCCTACTAATCCAAAATGGCAATTCCACTACTAAATTCTCTTATACATAGGTTTCTGGATTCTCCAATGGTCTGCCAACTGCTGTATTTTTAAATAATTATAGCTTCAAATATATTGATAGATTGGATAAGCACATCATTTTTTTTTTCAAATTGCCTTTGTTACATTTACATACCAAATGAACCTTAGAACTACTTAGCAAAATTCATACAAAAGTTTCAATGACGGTGGGTGCAATGGCTCATGCCTGTAATTCCAGCTATTCAGAAGGCAGAGATCAGAAAGATCTCAGCTT